TGAGAGTATATGGTATTTGTTATTAATAATAATCCTTGCATCGATATATGTCAGGAAGACATCTCAAAGCACAGAATTTGCTCAAAAATTAAAACTTCATCAAGTACAATTCTACATCAATAATATATTCCCACAAGTCTGTACATCTCTGCTTAACATTATACAAGGAAACCTTGCGTTTTTTAATGTTAAAGTTTGGACATTCCAATTTCCAAGTAGCTGCAGATTTCTTCCCAGCAGTGTTGTCTCATCACTGTGAGCACAAACTCCAGAGTGAAGCCAGGAATTGTATTTTCCGTAGCATTGAAGTTGAAGTCAAACGGAGAGTCAACAGCAAAATATTTATTGATTTTACTTCTTCAGATTTAGAAATGATTCTTGGTTCTCTTGTCATGTTACAGCTGTTATATCCACCTTCGGATCACTGTTACACTATTCCTTGCCAATTATCTACTTTCTTAACCCAGTTTAAATCACTCTGATTTTGCAAAACATTCTGTACCATCTTGGTTTCATTCCTTATCAACTATTTGCTCATCATAACCACATCTTTTGGACACCAATAATGGCAATATTTTCAATTGTTGGCTTGAGTATAGCTGATGTAGACTAAACTGTGATAGTGTCTGCCAGAAGATTTCGTATATTTAGTTATTGAAAGGTCCAGTTTTACAGTCTAGAGGTGTTAAACAGTATCAATGAAAAACTTGAACAAGTCAGTGCTTTTATCAGATAGGATTTTTTTCTGTTCTTTGTCACAGTAACAGTGTATTTTATCATACTGCATTTATATTGCACATTTCACACGGAATTGCTATTATTTTGCTGTTTAAATGTGGTCTTAAGAACAGCAAAACATGCGCTGGAGCCCTGCTTATAACAGCAACTGAAGGAAGAATGAAAGGAACAATGAGACTTCAGGTATAATATAGAATCACACAGGGCCTATTATCTTTCAGATAAAGCTCTTGGTCAATTCCTTCGACAGCTCAGGAACTCCAAACTATTTGCAATACTGGGAGACAAACCTGGCACTCAATTTGCTGATTGAAGTGATGTGGAGTAGGCAGTATAAACCTGGCTTCCTACTCCACATTGCTATACTGTCAGGTGCAAAACAGCTATGTTCGCAGCAGTATAACTGAAGCATTACAAGGCTATGTTACAAATCAGCTTATCTATGAACCAATCATAGTTAATTTGTGTACATTAAACATTAAACTGTGTCTGTTCTTTATAAAGCAGTTGAGCATCTTAAAACTAAAAAGCTTTGCACAAAGCGGCCCGCCACACAGCCCCCCTACACACCAGCCCCCCCCACACACACAGCCCCCCCCACACACGCACACAGCCCCCCCACACATGCACACAGCCCCCCCCCACACACGCACACAGCCCCCCCCACGCACACAGCCCCCCCCCCCACACACACAGCCCACCCCCCCCACACACAGTCACCCCCACACTCAGACACACACAGTCTCCCCCCCCCCACACACACACAGCCCCCCCCGCACACACGTAGACCCCCACACACAAACAGCCCACACCTCCCACACGCGCACACACACACAAATTACAATTTTTGCAAACAAGTACCTTTATTTAAACCAAGAATGGTCACCATTTTACAATACATAGTTGTACAATGTTAGCAACAAACATTGAAATTTTTTCTTTTCAATCTAAATTCCCGAGTTTTTTTTATATAAAAAAGACACACTTCTGTATGATCCTAATTGTAATTTACAAGAAGCGGTAAAGGCAGTGAATGGAGTAGTGATTGTACAAATTTCAGAGCTGCAACACACCGGGTTTCGTCATTGATCTTTCATTACAACTGAGAGATCCTTTCCCTCCCAAGAAAATGAAACAAATAATATTCAACTCGAGGCCTCTGTTCCAGAACCATAATCTTACATGAATTCTGAAATAATTTAGTGGAGTCAAGGCATCAATATGAAAATTTTCATTTACTATCGCGTTTACATATTTGGTGTTGATGATTCTCCAAAAGCAGTTTCTAGTTCACTATAAAATAGCGGGAAACCACCCAAAAAAGCACAGCATCCGTGTTCTACTTTCAAAACTGCAACAAGTTCACGTGGATGTCAAAAGGTCCTACAACACTATTTGTGAACAAGAGCTCTCCGGGTTTCCTTGGGTAATACTGTACAGTTTTCCAAATTCACCAAAATGTACATTAGGTTTGTGTAAAAAGCAAAACTGCCACCTATTCCCCTTCACTTTATTTGGGCCATAAAGCAAGGTCACTCATATCAAACCAGTCTCAATATGGACGGTGCAAATGCCCGCATATTTACGTTAAAATGAATAAGCCTATGGGTATATGACACGATATATCCCAGTATATGAAACTGGAATTCCTAATTATAAATCCAGAGGAATCTCATTCAGTATGAGCCGTCACCTTCTAATAGAAAAAGGGAAGATCAGGAATTTTCTTTTATTGATATAAAATGGAACCCTTAGAAGCAGTCCATAGAATAGACAATCTGTTCTGCCTAGATCATTTACCAAAGCAAATTATACCTGAATCTATTTCAATATTAAACACATTGTATTCCCTTTAAGCTATACCAAATATGTAGTTCTTTGGTTACACACAGTGCATGCAGAATTAGAGAGATGTAAACACGCAATATTTGGAGGCAGCAAGTTGAGTATTATAGTGGAAGCAGTCTATGTTAAATGGCTTGACAAGAAAAATAATGTGTTGTGCCTTATAAAGATGCGGTCTTCTGCATTTACGTGCCTCACTTGAAGGATTTATGACTCAAAGTCAAGTATAATTTAAAAATCAGAAAAATATCTAAGTAAAAGTAAGAATTCATCTCAAGAAAGTATCATTTGAACAAATGAATAGATTGCTATTCAAATTTCCAGATACATTGCATAAATTGTACTATTCTTTTGGATCAATGTATTATTTTGAAAAAAGCAAAATGGTAACATAAGCAATAACATTACAAACAAAATAAAGTTGCCAAATGTAAATTAGTACCAATATGCAGTTATTTCACAAAAAGTATAACATATATACACATTTCCTTACAACGTTCTCTATAAAGCAAAAGGTAGTTATTTACTACTCTGCTCAAATACAATCTGAAAGCATACATTCAATTCAAAGTATTGAGAACTTAATTCCTTCTCAGGTTGTACATCTAAATAAGTAAAGCTCAAAGAGTGGTCCACAGCACTAGTAAATTTAAATGGTGGTAAAGAATCAAATGCAGGTTTACAGTGGGTAGAGCTCTGTCTGTTCCACTCAGCTATGATCAAAGCTACAGGATAATCGCAAGTGCTTCATTGTTGAAAATTTTACCCAAGTCACAGTGAGGGCTATAATGCAGGTTACATTTTAATGTAATGTTTTGCCCACAAAATACAGTCAATTCACTTTACAGTATGATCTGTGAAGTGCTTTGAACGTCTCAACTACGTGATAAGGCGCTATATCAAATGCAAGGATTATGAAATATATTTTATCAGAAACAGGCCAGTAGTTTAGTGAGTTGAAGACTCAGTTCTTCTATTAAGGTAATTTTATAATATGTACATTGCCAGATTCAAATGAACAAACTGCAATAGTACTATCATGCACAAGTGTTTGCAATATACAGGTAAACATTTCATTCAATATATACTAGGAGATTTTTTTTAAAAAAATGTATCAAACTGCTAAGCTGAGTTTGTACATTATTCACCTAAAATCTGGTTTAAAAAGATAAAAGGTATAGAAATTCAGTGCTTGCAATACTAGTTGGGATCTGGGTGAAGCTAGTCATGTATAGTAACTGGTTTGAAGCAGGCAAACTTGTTTTGAAAAACTTCATGGCAACAAATCACAGGGCAGGACACACAAGTATCAGTTTTGATTTAAATACATAATTGGTGAGAAGCCAAAGGAATTAATCAGTTGACATAAAAACAAACTTCATTACAGTTAGGGGAAAATTATAAAATAATGTTAATCAACTACAATAGTAGTTGGACACCAGTTTTCTTCCCCCCATACCCATTGTATTTCCTGTTTTATTTAATATAAATTGCAGAAATGTAACTACATCCCAAATAAACTCAGTTTAAAAGCAGTCATAGATACACTGATAAACTTTGGACAATTGTTTTCGCAAAAACTTTAGTCAACTTAATCGCCCTGCTCCAACACACACATCAGTGAAATGTATTATTGTTATATTATATTTGGAACCCAACATATTTACATAGAGGTAAGTTGTTTTTAAACTTAGGTCAACAATATTCAAAGTTAACTTGGACTTGTTTGTGAAGACAGTAGACATTTATTTAATACTAGGTGCAATATTATTTCCATTCCACCAAAATATTACATTAATTCTAAAATACCTTGCTAAATGGTGGAAATCCATGTTGACTAAAAAAAATCTGCATAGATGAATAGCATTTTAATAAACTCAGTTAAAACTTTCATTAAAATGTAGCAGCTACATATAATCGTTACGGGTTTAAATGTTACAGGTGTAAATAATGCCCATTATACTGCAGGTACAAGTGCTCTGAGACACTACCCGATGTGGAGAGCACGATATAAGTGCAAGTTGTTGTCGTTGCAGATTTTGTGTTGGGTGGCTTGTTGCCTTTTCATTCCACTGACTCAAGATGTGTAGGGCATTTATCCTGGACTAGCATTGCTGTACTGCGGACGTCGCCTGGGACGCTTGCTAAAAGTAGCCTCGTATCACTGAACATTGGCCACTTGGCAGTATTTTATCTAAAATTTAAAAAGTTTAGAATCAGAAGACACATTTACAATTCACATGATCCACAACACTAGTGGATATAAATAGTGGTAAAGAATTGAATCCAGGCTTGCAGTACGATTGGGTAGAGCTCTGGCTTTTTCACGAAGCTCTGGTAATTGCAGGCATCGCCTCGCTTCGTTGAAAATTCTACCCAAGGTACAGCGAGGGTTAGAATGCAGACAATTCGGATAATTGTATGTGTAGAAAACTTTTTTTTAAAAAAAAAAGATGTGAATAATTTCTAAATATTTACTGTTCTAGGATAAAAATGAAATTGCATTCCTTAGAAGTCGTACTATTTAATGCAATGCATCTTCATTTTTCAATATCATTGTCCTTTTCCCAGTGTGCATGGCAACAGTGAGAGCAGCTACAAGAGACTAAGGAGAACGTGATCTCAACGGTAAAAACTCATCACTGGAATTGCTACATGTTCCCTCAGATTCAGCTTGTAGTTCATCGGGAAGAGGAGGGGCTCCTGGCTCTCCTGGTCTGGGCAGAGATAATGTTGCTGGCATGGTTTCCATGTTGCTCATCGTAGTTGCTTTCTCTAGTGTAGATCCAGATTTCAAACTTAAGGAAGGGAAAGAATACAAAAGCGATGCTCCTGGACTGACCTCTCCTTCAGGGTGAAACAGAATGTTCGCATCTACCCTCTTTTGAATGCTAGGCTCGAATGAGGACAATCTGGATAGGTTGTTTGTTGAAGACTCGTCTTTTGACATTATGTAACTGGATAAAATCGATGATCCTAGTTTTCCAAAAAAAAAGACAATATTGCATCAGGAATGTTGGAAGTTTACACAGAACATGATTCATTTAAGCAATAGCAAGTTAATGCAATTGGAGAAAATCCTCAGTCTTTGCTTTCACTTGCCATCTGTAGGCTATTAAAAGCTTGAAATCATAACTACTACATAACTTAACCTCTCTTCTGCTCTTTTGAACCTTGGAGGTTTTAACCATTCACCTAGGTTTCTCAATAGATAGAATATATACACAAGAAAAAAACATTTCATTTGACATTCAAGGGCACTTAAGCCTTACATTCTGTACAATTCTTATATTCCCACAATTCAATCTCTAGCAGGACTTCCTATAAAAATTACATCATATACAGAAAGAGAGAATTGTGAACTGTGACTGAATCTGCCAGCCCTACATAAACACTGTGCCCTGACTAGTGAATGCAAACAAAACACTCTATGGGTTAACCATCTAAACGGGTATTTCTTCAGTTTCAAATAAATTTAGTACACTCAAGTTAAATGACTTTCATGAATAAAAACTTAAATGGATAAAGCAATATTGCACAAATAAAATTTGTTTGATTGTCATAAATAGAATTGTTGCTTGCAACAACATAGGACTAATCTGTTATGACTGAGCTTCAGCTAGGAATGCCTTTGCTATCACCAGATTGGCACATAGCAAGGTGTGGCTTTGAGTTCCACTCATACTTCAGTAGGAAAGAGGCCAAGAAAAATCAAGGAGGCCAACACAGGAAATTCTAGACCTGCCCAAACCAAACAGGGTTTAAAAGCATTCATGTGAAACTCAACCCGTTTCATAACATTGACATTTGTGAACCATGGTTTCTAAAACCATCCATTTACATTTTTGTTCAGGTAAGCAACAAAAAGTAAGGGGAAAACTGATCCCGTGGATGCATATGTATTCATAAGCTTCAGTTGGTGTCTATACTATGATCAAGATATCATTGAAATCTTACTACGGTGTACTGTATCAAATGAGAAGATTCAGGGTCAAAAGATTGCCAAGTTCCCAGGCTTGACTATGCCTCAGAGGAGAGGCGCCAGGCAAACATCAAGCATATCTTCACTGAGTCCGCGTCACACTGGGCCAGCTTTAATGATTCTCCAAGTGGTTAGTTATAAAGTGGCATTGGCAAAGACCAAGGAACATGTTGCATTCCTAACAACCTAACTGGAGAATGATATATGGCATAACAATGGAATCTTAAAACAAAGAAAACTAAAAAAAATTACAATTATGAAAACGCTTTTTACCTTTTTGCATTATTCTGTCATTTTTACATCTTTGCACCTCGTCTGTTATTTTTGGAATGAGAAAAATCTGCGTTTTTTCACGTATGATGGAGTCAATTAGAGTGTCCAAGCCCTTTGGGTTTTCCGCTATGTAATCCAATAGTTTTCCTGCTCTTCTCGTATTTGTTGGCTGGTTAGAAATTTCTTCTGTATCTTCCCTTGAAAGTATCTTCTTTGCCCTCAAGTAGTCAAAGTGTCTATCAGCAGTGATTTTACCACACAAATGTGGCCTCAGCTTTTCTAAAGCCTGCGTTAAAAAAAAAGAAACTTGTCATGAAAATGTATACCCAGGTTTCCCAAAGATTGCCAGTACCAACCTGAAAAACAGTCCTCTTTTTGAGAAGATGGTACAAAGACATTTTTACCAAAAAAATGTAAGGAAACATCCACAAAAATTGCACAAAGACACCATCGTCCAGAGTACCAACTGAGATTCTGTTAGCGTTGATAAAAACATAACCAACAATAATACACCAGATGCTTCAATGCTCCATAAGCAGCTGATAAGCCAGTTGACTCCTTAAACCAGAAATCATAAACGCAAACATTCACATGAATCTTGGTAAGTCTGTGTTCGATTGGTCATGTTTTTTCAGTTTTTGTATTCAACATTTCATAAAATGAATCAGGACAATTTATTTTGTTGGTCCATCATAAAGGTTGGCCACCACTACACTAAACAAAACCATTCAAAAAGGCTGGGACTATAGCTGCAAAGCTATAGCTGCAAAGCTGCAAAGCACAGAATTACAGGTCAACAAATTTCAAAGGCAACATTGTGAAATAATTTAATACAGTGGCTTGCAAGTGCTTAATATGGTTATGGAATGGTGTCAACACATGTTGAAGCACAACTCTCAGTAAGGCAAATGTAGCAGGTAGTGAACAATCGTGGCAGACGCCATCAACACCCATTGATAATAATCTTTGCATTTGATATAGTGCCTTAACACATCTAGAGGTGTCTCAGAGCGCTTCACAGAATATACCGTAAAGTGAATGACGGTATATTTTGTGGGCGAAACGCGACAGCCAATTGCACACAGCAGTGTCCAACAAACAGTCGTGGATTGAAGTGACCAATTTGTTTAAAAGGAATTAATACCCTTGTAAAAAGCGATCCACCAATTGTCTAACAACCGATTCCTACTTACTACTAGGTAAACAGAAGCGTGCAGAGTAAGGAAACTTACCAACCTTTCGCCTTCCTGGGAATTGAACCCAGGTCTCTCGCTTGCGAGGTGAGTGTTCTAATCACTGAGATACAGGACATCACGTGCTTCACATCAGCTTCAATGAGCTCCACTGAGCTGATGTGCGACTCTTGAAACAGTCCGCTGCACATGGATATGTACATATGCTATAATTGTTCAGATCAAAAAATAGCTGAATTTATTTGGTATGTACCACAAGGATACCATTCTCCTCCAAAATCCACAGACCAAAACTCTTCTATTCTATGCAGCTTTTGATTAACAGCCCGTGAGACACCTTCCCCAGTGAGTAAAGGCACCCAGGGAGGACTAAGCTATCACAGACTGGAAGCTTGCAGGTTTGAATCAAACAGGTCACACATGAATAAACCATTGATCACACGTTGTTACACTTCCTCATTTAGTTGGCTTGGTGTGGCAGTTTACGAGCTATAATTGTCATCATCGCTCCTAGCAAGGAGAAGGAATCAGCAAGATTTCCTGCTCATAACTGCTACCCAGATGTTCAGTGAGCAGAGGTTGGGTTAAGCCATCATGATCTCTGCAGTTGAAAAGCCTGTCACACTCATTATCAAGGCGCAGATGAATAAATGGCAAGTCAAGTGGGAGGCTGACAACTTTGGAATCACACAGCAATAATGGTGAAAAGAATAAAATCCCTTCAAAGAGGAGGGAAGAGAAAATGTATGGAGGGGGAGAAAAGGCAAATTCCTAACATATTAATCCTTTCATTTGATAAAGAACCTTTCACAACAGGGGGATGTCTCAAAGTGCTTCACAGTTAAGTGTAGCGATTTGTGTATTTTGTAGGCAAACATAGCAGCCAATTTGCACACAGTAAATAAGCAACTTTATTTGTGGGATTATTGGCCAGGGCATCAGGAGAAGCTCCCTTCTCTTTTCAAATAGTCCTGTGGTATTTGTAACGCCTGTCTAAATAGGCAGATGAGAACCTTGGTTTAATGTCTCATCTGAAGGACAACATCTCCAACAATGCAGCACTCCCCCAGCACTGCATCTGAGTGTTAGCCTACACGACATGGAGATTGATCCCACTAACTTCTGATTCAGAGGTGGGAGCGCTACCAACTGAACTGCGTAAATTGTATGGATAATCAGCAGATTCCATTATAGAAACTGACCAATTCCAATGGAATCTTCTTTAATCATGCTTCAAGTGTACATTCTGCGTTTGGTAGTTTATTTGAAGATCACACTATTTGTACACTTCAAAAAAGACAGCATTTCTGAAACAAATATGGTGTCCATGCCAATATTGTACTTTGTGGAAAAACTATTGCCTTCAACTGATGTCAATTTCCCTTTGAGTGCTTCAACAAGGCAGGTGAATATCATTGTAAGAGGCACTTCATTTCAGAAGTTAATGACTAAATGTGAAGTTGATTTTTCAAAAAACCACAGTGCAACCATTTAATCCCAATATATTGGTTAGTCAAGTTTAATAAAGCTAAATGTTTGGCTAACCTCATAGAGAAGAGGAATTAAACATTATATTTAAACCAAACCTACATTAAGCTTAGAATTAGTAATGCGGCTGTTATTTATAGTAACCACCCACATTGATTAAACATTTTAGTGGGATTTCCTTTGAACCTTGCTGAATGCAGCATCTTTCAAATACCAAATACTGTACGATCAGTAATACAATTTTTAAAATATTGTACAGGTTAAATCCACTGTGGCTATAAACTGACCAAATGACTTGCGTGAATTTTAAGTCAAGAATAAAAACAGTCTTTGTTAAAATAGGAAACGGGTGCATTTAACACTTAAAATATATTTCCTGTTTGCATGAAAGCACCAGTAAGATCATGCTAAAGAGACTAATCTCTAAAGTTCCTTTTCTGGATATATTGTGCTCAATCCTAGCAATGATAGCTCTGAAGTTCCAAGTTGTAAGGTATAGCTTACTCTTCCTGATTTAGAACAGTTTATTAACAATGTTATTGCACAATCTGAAAGGAAACGAAGATTTTTCCAATTCTTGTATAAAGCAGTAAAACCAGTGGATATAAATAATACTTTTTCAAACTAGCGTATATCTTCTAATCTGAAGACACCCTACAATTCACCACTTGTGATTGTCGCCTCCTGCCACCCGATCAGTACATTAATAAAATGTATTCAGTGATTGTAGTGCTGAAGAGTTTACAATTATCTTTTTCTGTTCATCTCTTCTCTGCCTCCTGCTTTCTCAGATCTCAAATATCTCTTTTGTAGAAAAAACACTTGCTACAGATATTTTTTCCTGTATGGCATAATATGCATGCTTATTTACATGGTTTGCTTTCTTTTAAAAAGAAAACAAATCTTTTCACATCTTTAATTCAAACTTTCATTGTATTTGGTTCCCTGCCTCTGAGCTCTCCTGACCACCAACTCATATTTGTGTTTGCAGGATGCAATCCAATGAATCATTTTTAGTTAGTGAATTTGCGGTCTTCATTTCTCATCTAGATTTTTTTTGCCTTCATAAGATTTAAATATACTGTTCTCTCCTCAATTGAGTAATTTTCCTTCTATTGCAGTATGGTTCCAATGGATACCTCGCCCACAAGGCCACTGTTCAAAGGTGAGCTTCTCTTCTGATGATTGGCATGCAAATTTCAGCAGGTGCGTAATAAGATATATACTCCAAGAAAAATCACCATACTTTCATGAAAGTTCAGTGATTAAAGGTTGCTCTATAGAGATCTCTGTGCGTACAACAAACATTCATTGAATAGAATACATAAATACACCTGAAGAGAAATACTAATAAAACTAGGGACTAAAATAATGCAGCTTAAAAGAAAATCCTTGGATTTGACCAACATATTTAAGAGCAAACCTGATGCATACCTGAGGCAGAAGGGCTAAGAGGCGTATACGAGTGGGGAGAAACACTGTTGTGGACTTGGTTATAATAATAACAATCCTTGCATTTGATGTGGCGCCTTATCATGTCTTCAAGACGTCTCAAAGCGCTCTTATCGGGGTTGGGCTCAATGGCCCATTTCGGTGCCTCACTCTGTGATACAGGGCCTTTCACTTCTACCCTCACAAAGAGGAGTTGGAGATACTCGAAAACAGAGCTCACTTGAGAACTTGATCACTGGGCTCAGGCCAGGCTTGCCTTGCCAGAGACGTGACCTGACTTGCTCAGGTGGGGAGGGGGCGGAATCGTGAAGATATGGTTCAGGTCTGCGTTGTCCTTTGGCAATTTGGGGTCTAAAAGAGTTGGAGCTCGTCTGCCTGGATAACCATTGTTCCCCTAAGTGGAACACATTTGAAGTGCTTTGAGACCTCTCAAAGACGTGAAAAGCGCTATATCAAAGGCAAGGATTATTATTAATAATAATATTATTTGATCTAATTCAGTTAATGGGGGTGAGCAGGGCCAAACCTCGCTCACAAATAAAAATAAAATCTTTCATTTCAGGAGGGCATCTCAAGCAGTTCCACGGGATTTACAACGAAGAGCAGTGACTGTGTGTGGTTTGTAGTGACAAAGAAAGTGTAGAACAGATTTAAAGTCCCTGCTCAGGTGGGTATGAGACAAAAGTGAGTTGTCAAAGGTCAGATCACACAGCTATGAGACATCAATGTGCTCTGCAGTCCGCAGCCCATTTTAAAAGTTACCTTTGTTAACTTGAAATAAAATATATTCCGCCACCCACACACCCCCCAACGTATACACGAGGGAGGCGAGGCACCCAAGGAAAGTCCATTCAGTGCGAGTTCCCAGGGCACCCACAGGGAGGTGCTTTCCTGGCTTCCCCAGTGATTAACCCCCCCACCCCCAGTGCCTCACCCCCCCGCCCCCCCACCCTCCAATACCTCACACCCCCAGTGCCTCACCCCCCTCCCCACCCTCCAATACCTCATACCCCCAGTGCCTCACCCCCCCCCCACCCTCCAATACCTCATACCCCAGTGCCTCACCCCCCCCCACCCTCCGATACCTCATACCCCCAGTGCCTCACCCCCCCCCCCCCACCCTCCGATACCTCATACCCCCAGTGCCTCACCCCCCCCCCACCCTCCGATACCTCACACCCCCAGTGCCTCACCCCCCCCCCCACCCTCCGATACCTCATACCCCAGTGCCTCACCCCCCCCCACCCTCCGATACCTCATACCCCCAGTGCCTCACCCCCCCCCCCCACCCTCCAATACCTCACACCCCCAGTGCCTCACCCCCCCCCCACCCTCCGATACCTCATACCCCAGTGCCTCACCACCAACTCCTCCCAGTGCCTCACACCCCCAGTGCCTCACCACCAACTCCTCCCAGTGCCTCACACCCCCAGTGCCTCACCACCAACTCCACCCCCAGTCCCTCACCCCACCCTCTAATACCCCCCACCCCCAGTGCCTCACCCCCAATACCTGACACCCCCAGTGCCTCACCACCAACTCCACCCCCAGTGCCTCATCCCATCCTCCAGTACCCCACCCACCCCCAGTACACCCACCCACCCCCAGTGCCTCTCAACAGCCACCCCACCTACCCAGTGCCTGTCTCACTTCCCAGCGCCTCGCCCCCCTCACACCCCCCCCCCGCCCTCACCCCCCCCCGCCCCGGGTGAACGAACGAACGAAGAAACACTCACTTCCTTCTTGACTTCAGCCATCTCCTCCTCTGTCAGCTGCACAGTGTCCATGGCGAGAGGGAGAGGAGAGAAGCGGCTCAGCCCTGGACCAGCGGCGCCCACCGACCCCAAACCCCGGGACACCCCCCCACACCCCCCCCCACAGTTTGATGAGCTCCGGGCGGCAGAGGGGCTGTTCACGAGCTCAGTGTTGAGGTGCAAAGTTGACTTCCTTCCTTCCTGCTCTCTGCAGCTTCTGACTGTAAATGGACCCGGGAGGAAAGTAACCAATCCGAGCTCCCGCAGCCTCCGCTTCCTACCCCTCCGGCAGTCCGCCCAGTCACTGAGCTCAACCAGCAGTCAACCAGCAGTCCGCCCAGTCACTGAGCTCAACCAGCAGTCAACCAGCAGTCCGCCCAGTCACTGAGCTCAACCAGCAGTCAACCAGCAGTCCGCCCAGTCACTGAGCTCAACCAGCAGTCAACCAGCAGTCCGCCCAGTCACTGAGCTCAACCAGCAGTCAACCAGCAGTCCGCCCAGTCACTGAGCTCAACCAGCAGTCAACCAGCAGTCCGCCCAGTCACTGAGCTCAACCAGCAGTCAACCAGCAGTCTGCCCAGTCACTGAGCTCAACCAGCAGTCAACCAGCAGTCCGCCCAGTCACTGAGCTCAACCAGCAGTCCGCTCAGTCACTGAGCTCAACCAGCAGTCAACCAGCAGTCCGCCCAGTCACTGAGCTCAACCAGCAGTCAACCAGCAGTCCGCCAGTCACTGAGCTCAACCAGCAGTCAACCAGCAGTCCGCCCAGTCACTGAGCTCAACCAGCAGTCAACCAGCAGTCCGCCCAGTCACTGAGCTCAACCAGCAGTCCGCCCAGTCACTGAGCTCAACCAGTAGTCAACCAGCAGTCCGCCCAGTCACTGAGCTCAACCAGCAGTCAACCAGCAGTCCGCCAGTCACTGAGCTCAACCAGCAGTTAACCAGCAGTCCGCCAGTCACTGAGCTCAACCAGCAGTCAACCAGCAGTCAGCCCAGTCACTGAGCTTAACCAGCAGTCAGCCAGTCACTGAGCTTAACCAGCAGTCAGCCCAGTCACTGAGCTTAACCAGCAGTCGGCCCAGTCACTGAGCTTAACCAGGCGGGCAGTGAGTTATAATAATCCTTGCGTTTGATGTAAGGCTTTTTGGAGACGTCTCAAAGCGCTTCACAGAATATACTGTCAAGTGAAATTGACTGCAATGTTTGTGGGCAAAACGCGGCAGCCAACTGCGCACAGCAGTGTCCCACAAACAGTCGAACGTGGATTGAAGTGACCGAATTGTAACTGTTCTTTTCTTGAGGGATTGTTATCAGGCGTATGGAAACTTGCCCAAGGTTTCGCCCTGTCGGGAATCGAACCCAAATTTCTCACTTGGGAGGGGAGTGGTCTAACCACTGAGGTACAGGAGTTAGCAAGTGAGTCAGTAAGTAAATGAGTTAACAAGTGAGTGAGTGAGTGATTCAATGAATGAGTTAACTCATGAGTGAGCTAGTCAGTGAGCAAGTTAAGGAGTGAGAGTTAATGTGTATCAGTGAGTGAGTTAACAATCCAGTGAGGGAGTTAACAGTGAATGAGTTAACATGTGATTTAGTGAGTGTGTGAGCTGACAAGTGACCCAGTGAATGAGTTGGTTAATGAGTCATCTGCAGCTGCTCACCTTTCTGTTCTTCTGGGAATTCTCAGAAACTTGTTGCCAGAAGATGAAATAAAACAACTTGGTTGCAATTTTGTTTTATTTATGGAAACATTCAGTTTTCATTATTGCATGCCTTGCAAAATATTTTTATCACAAAAAAGTAGACCAAGTAAACTCAGTCTTGTGCATCCCAGTAATGGACAACAAGCTAAATATTTAATACTTGTATTTGATGTAATGTCTTATCACATCATGAAAATGTTTCAAAGCACTGAACAGGATTTTTGTATTATAAAGTGCAGTGCCTAAGTATTTTGTAGGTAAAAGTGGCAACCAATTTGCATCGGAGAGAGAAAAAAGATCAATGTTGGGTCTGCCCTTTTTGCAAAAAGCATCAATTCACTTTTGTAACTTACTTTTAGAAAGTGTTAGCTTCACTTGGTTGCATGCCCGTAATATCACAATTAATTATTTCTGGAAAAGAGAATGATTTATTAAATCATGACAGGTTAAGAATTCCCTAGTAACTCATTAATATTCTTGGAGAATGTTCTGAAAATAAGTTAGTCAGTCCTGAATGTATTGAAAGGGATAAATTGTACATCAATATTCTCTATTTATGGTTTGGTCCAAGTTTCCTAGAAAGGATATAAGTCCATGTAGCCAGTTCATTTCAGTTGTTAGTGATATAAAGGACTCAATTCCTGTTTACATTTTCTTTCCTATTTTATACCTATTTTCCCTCCTTTTGGTCCAATCCTCCAATTCCACTAATGAATAAATAAACATAACAATGATAAGAGCTATGGTTTAAAAGCAGGGGAATGGAATTTGTTGGATAGCTTTTTCAAAGAGCCAGCGCAGGGACGATGGGCCGAATGGCCTCCTCTATGGTCTATGAATGTACAAAACATTTCCAGGCCTTCGTCAAAACTACTCTCGAGTTGCCCTTAATTGCTCCAGTTTCCTCATTTGTCCTCGGTGATAGCTCCTGTAATTTAATTTCACAAGTCATCAAAACTCTTTTTGTACATCCAGGAATTCAAAGCTTTTTTAATGGAAACAGAACTAATCTGAAAATGGAAGGAACTGAAAAATCTCAGAAGATAACATTCATACTTAAAATATTCAAATCATTCCTGAAATTTGAGAAATACACTGAATGAATTTGAAATACATTCAAAATGAAGACTTGTGTCTGAAAATCAAAAATTAAACCTAATTGTGAACAAGTAAGCAAGAAACCAAAGAGAGATTACTTATATATGTATAAACATAACTGTATATTTGCATAAATAAGTTAACTGAAAATTATTATCATTATTGGTTATTTTAAATGCAAGTAAAGAGTAAAACTGGATATTTAGAGGAACAAATAAACAATAGATCTGTTCGTTGTGAAGCTCACCCCATCCTTCTGAGGAACAGAAGTTCATCTGTGATGGACTAACATTTCATTTTTCAGTGTATGATATTGTTCCCGCACAGGAACTTCTAGAGAGGAACCAAACATTTTTTTTAAATCTATGTTTTCATTTTGAATATTTTGGGGAAACAGCCTTCTGGTCTTGGGAATTTCCAAGGCATGGCAGAAAAAAATAACATGGTACAGGGCAGGGTTTATAAAGAGAATGACTCTCTTAAATTAATTAAATTCAGACTCATTTAAATCATAAATTTGCTCCACTCTTTAAACCAAAATGATTGCTGTTTTTTTTAAACCAAAATTGCTACCCTAAATGATAATGAACATAGTCTTTTTTCCTAGTGTGATTATGTAGTCTGAATTGAATATGGAACTCAAAAGAACTGATTGAAATGCTACGTTTATCAGTTACAATGTCCATAACACATACAAATAATTGAATTTGTGGAAAAAATAACAGCAATAAAAATAATAATAACCTTTGTATTTAAGTTAATGTCTTTTATATCAGGAAGATGTTTCAAAGCGCTTCACAACTTGTAGTATAACATGTAGTACGTAGAAAGTTTGCACACAGAAATGTTTCACAAACAGCCAGGAAGTGCAAGGCCAATTTTGTTTGAGGGATTGTCGGCCAGAACACTGAGAGAAATTCCCTTCTTTTTTCAAATAGTGCCATGGGATCTTTTCAATATCCACCCAAACAAGTTAGACGGACCTTGGTTTAACTTCTCATCTGAAGGACAAATACAGGTCATTTGAAATGCAATTCTTAATAATTTTTAATAGATACATTCACTCAGGCATGATCAACCAACTGATAAGACGGTTTAAAAATGTACCTGCAAAGAAAACATAACCTTGGTCCATTGATTGAAGGAAAATTCAATCAATGGCATTCAAACATCCTATTTCTATCTCTTTATAGAATTAATTGCTGTGACAGCAATAAAATCAGCCCCTCAAATTTTCAAAATTTGAAACGGCTTTTGTTTTTAATAACACCAAAAAAGAAGTTTATGCAACACAATAAATTTCTTGCAATAAACAAGAAAGTTTAGTATAAGTTAGAGATTTATATAACGAAAGTATGAATCCATACAAAAGTCATATGTCTCTTTCTACATAGGTTTTCTTGCTAATATTAAGTACTTCAAACATATAAAATATATCTAAAGATTTTATTGTTAAAAGGACGTTTAAAAGTTCTCAAAATAATTTCTGTACATTGTAAAGAAAGACTAACAAATGTCGTGGATGCAATAGCTGGCATCAAAAAATGCAACAACATTTTAAAAAATGCGAAAATGTAGCAGAATAGCAATGCTTTACTTGGAAGCTTTTTTAAAAAAAAATCATGAATATGGATGTAGTTTCTAAATACTGGTAGGTGCAAGTAAAATGGACCAAACACATTCAATGCAGCATTGGTAATGACTTTTATTTAATTTATGAAGCAGATGTTATCAGCGAAAACCACATTAAGCTTTCAGATTTGTGTTATAAAGTAAATGTTGACTGTGTCTATGGAAACTCTTATAATCAAATTGAATGCACTGATGTCTTTGGCACAAACATTGGGAGTGATGGGGTGTGGGAAGCTATAGTTACGAAACAGAACATTTATCCTGAGAAAAATCTAATCCAAATGTAACTAGGTCTCCAATACTAATTTGCAAGTTTACATAGTTTTAATATTATCAAAATTTATGGAATGAACGAAGAAAAATAGCTTAAGCATGCAAGTGATTGTGTACTGTATTATTACATTAATGCAACCATACGTTAACTAAAATTTTGCTTAGGGAAGGAGGAGCCAAAGAGTTTTGCTATTGAATTAAGAGGAATTAAAACAATTTTCATCAATAATAAGTTAAATAGCTTTAAACATCCAGACCATCTAATTAAAATTTATCCTTTCAACATTTAAACCCTGTACTCATCTTGATTCTATCTCTACTCCAGCTCACAAAATACAAGTTTATACACAATTACAATCACAAGGTGGCAATAGAGGACCACCTGATATCACCAATAGGAAACCAGGATTCATTGCACAGTGAAGGTTAGGATCCACAACCAACATAAAAAGATAGAGGAGAACTCTTCAGGCTCAGCTATGTAATAATAGTTATATTATTAGCAGTCAGGGTAATTTTTAAAAAATAATAAAAATTGAATTTACATTTCGAGCTTTTTGTTAAGAAGAACTGAACAGCAGGTGAGAGCCCCATCGACTTTGGACAGTTCAGAGCAGGTAACCGGAATCAACATGTGTTCCTTCAGTTTTTCAAACACCTGTGGAAAGGGAAAATGTTGATAAAATTGTTGTTAATCATTTGTCTCAATCACATGCTGCTAGTCATCTTCTGACAAAAGAAGAAAACCACAAACTGGACTGGAGCATGCTTTGCGAGGATTTTCAATGGTGAACAGTATTTGTTGGTAACCTCGATAATCATAATTAAATAGATACAAAGAAATTTGTTTTTGCTGAATGCCGGATACAGTGTAAAGCGCTGCTCTAGCACTTAACCACAATTAATTTTATGGTGTTCAATTATCTGATTTGTGATTGCAGTTTCTGTGAAATTTTGTTCACCATCAGAAATGGACTGTACTTGTTTCATTAAGCACATTTTAAAATTACCATACAATCCTCCTGTATAATTGAGTTCAATTGAAAGCAAGTTGTCAGTTCCATTCTCTAGTAGTCCAGGAGTGCCAAGGCCAATAGGAGCAACCTTACAACAGCTTGCATTTACAACAACAAGATTACATTTGTATAGCGCCTTTCATGTCAAGAGGACGTCCCAAGGTGCTGAAATTTATATAGCGCCCTTCACGCGGAGTAGCGTCCTGGAGTGCTTGACAGTGGCAGAGTCTGACGCCAAGCCGGGGGGAGAGGGAAAGGGAGGTGACCATAAGCACGATCAAAGAGAAATGTCTTTAAATCATGCCACCTTATGGTTTCGTGGTAGAAATAATCAAATTCAGCACAGACTGGGGATCAACCCTGAGGCTTTCCTTATCCATAGGCCTCAGTTTTATGCTAAGCTGTGGCTTTAACAATCGTATTATCTGGAGAACTGGCTTTGAAATCAGGGTCTAATTTGCAGGATTTGTTGAAGGATTCACAAATACCAAATCCTGCACAAACCTGAATGCATTCACAGCAACATGGCAGAATTCCTGTTATACATTGATCTTATTTCTGTCTTCTGAAGCGGGATCACATCAAAAGGAGGATGGGGGAAGAAGGCGGGAGAGCAATATCTGAGTGGAGCACCGGTTGATCAGAATGAAACACATTCTATTTTCATGGCCTTTTAAGAATTCTGCAAATTAGACCCCCGAGAAATGTCTCCCCTCTCAAATTCTGTCCCTCTCCATTTTTTGTGTTAGAAAAGGATTTACTAGCAAACATAGATAATTGTCGCCCATAATATATTTATTTAGAAAAGGTTGAATGTTTCCAAAAATATAATTTTGAATCCATTCAAGAGATTCTGTTTCATATTGCTGTACTGTTCAAAAGCATAAGCAGTTTCAGAGAAATTTTATTTTACACTTATTATTGCAGTTTTAGGCACTTCTAGATTGTTACTCTAATATACATATACTGCAATTTGCTCCACAGATCTGCCATGTAGCTTATTTAAGATTGTTAATGGGCCGTTAAGTTAATACTGTAATATCACCTCACCACATGAGTCTGCCAACTTCAACACAGCTAATATGATTCATTGCTTAAGGCTCAACATCCATAGTCTTTGATGCTTAGGAATCTGGTGGAAATCTCATGTTTAAATTAGTAGCTAATCATATTAGTAAATCATGAATACATTTCCTAAATTGTACCACAATATTTACTTTTTGGAGTGGATTCCAGTTACATATCAGCAGCCAAGATGATTCAATAAAAAGTTATTGTATTTTAAAACATTTATAAATGATTCTCTTTTTTGGGGAGGGGACATGATGACAGTAGCAGTATTAACTTCATTACTTATTTGTTTATCATAGCCCACATTGAGAGACAGTGATTCACTGCTTAATCTTCAACATCCGGAATTTTTGAAGCTTAAAATTCCAGTGGAAATGTTTAAATCAGCAACTAAGGTATTAGTCCACGATGAATGAGTTTCCTAAATTTTACCGCAACCTTTATATTTTGCAGTGGATGATGTATAAATGTCAATAGCTTAGATGATTCAATAGAAAGTTATTGTATTTTGAAACATTTCTAAAAGATTGTCTACTTTTTAAGTGGGGAGGGTGAGTAATGACAGTAGCAAGTGCTCCTACCAGGGTTAACTTCATTACGTACTTGCTGATAGGCCGCATTTATAATCATTACAAACTCTAATAGACTCGAGATCTGTTAATTCTCAAAGTTAATCTAAACACACCAAATTAAAGGCAACAAAGAAACAACCAGCCTGTGAAAATGGTCCTGGTAAAACAACGATACATAAATAAACAAAAAGAAAAAGTCTAATAAACATCCTATTTGTAACCACTGAATAAATAAATCGAACAGCAACATTCCAGTCATCTGAGTCATGAAAATCTTTGAACTGAACTTGTAAAACATGAAGAATGCTGAAACCCAAAACAATCTGTAATCATGTCACTGAAGAAAGGAAAAAAACTAAACATTGAAACAAAGGTAAAACATTGATGTGAATGAAACTAGTTCATTCACCCAATGTACTGCTACATTGTATTTCATCAGCAAAGTTTTAAAATGCCCTGATCATATTGCAAACTTTCACCAAGAAAGGCTGAGTGAACAACACTTCAGCAGCGGTATCCAAACCAACGGAGGAGGAAAGCAAATACATTACTGAACTTACTCATTTACTAATGTAACTCAACTTATAACACACTCACAATTTTGCCCCTTGTTGGACATACCTGTTCATATAACTCTGTATATCTACGGCAATGATCTAGTTATCAAATAGCTCCACCAGATATTCCAAAATTGTCAAGTGCTCGTGTCTTGGAATGACTTTAATTCTAAGTATTCAAACATAATGTTATTTTCTCATTTTAGCATTGGCAATAATTTTTTTTTCAAAACACAGTTGTATCGTATTGCATTTCAAATTCACTATGCGTTTAATAGGCATGGGCTTTTGTGCACTGGCAATTTAGATTGCACTGGCAATAGGTAAGATAGATCTGTGTTTTACCAATGGATTTATTTAAAGCTAATGTTAACATGAGTTTTCTTGCTCCTTTTTTTAGTCCTACACCATTTACTGGAAGATGATGGAAACCATACCTACCTACTATCAGAATCCTTTCAATGCCACATTGTCATGTAAATTGTTATGAAGAGTTCCACAAGAGGAGTTTGGGTTGAATCACCCTTTGACTTTCTCTTCCTTCACTGTGGGGAACTATTTGCACTTAGATTCCTTCCTCCTCCAAGGCCTAGCTGGGCTGAACCTTTCCTATCACTCCATAGAACATCAGCAGATCAGAACAGCAATAGGATATCATGAGGTCCACGGTTCACCCACATATTTAAAGCAAATTAATCCCTGACCAAACCAATTAGAAAATATAACACATCAACAGGTCAGCTATGACACTTTTGTTTACATAAACAAAAGCTCCGAAAGAAAGGTTACCAAAATAAAACAAATTCATATTTTACCTTTGCACTTTCTGGGAATTCCTCAGGAGACCGATGTAGTAAAACATGGCCCTTATTTGGGATGTTCAGATAAACGCAATTTGCTGCTGTGTCATCTGGTACTGTGAGCTTGTCGTAACGATGTTCACTCATCTGCTGCATGAACTGTTCGGCAAAACAAAGAAAATGAAATTATATTCCTTACACGTGTTATGGCTAGCACCTTTCACATTGGGAAGGATGTCTCAAAGCACTTCACGGGATTTACTGTGAAGTGTAATTGCAACTGTGCTAATTTGTGCACAGCAAAGTCCAACAAGCAGCCATGAGGTAAGGGATGGTTGACCAGGAGAAATTCCCTTCTCTTCGATTAATGCCCGGTGAGTATCTTGGTTCAATGTCTCATTCGAAGGATAGCAGCACCAACAATGCAGCCCTACCCTCAGCACTGTAATGAAGCAGTAGTAAATCACACACAAGTGACTACTCAGATTTAAGGGCACAATCTTTTATCTTGATAACAGTTGCTTGTAGAATTTTTTTAAATTGCCTGTTTCTTACTGTTTACTTCAACTGTTACTATAATCCTTCACTGTAACCTCCCATCGATTAACAGTTAAGTAAAATAAATTACATTCAGCACAACAATAGAACTAAAATGCAGGACCGTGCCAACAGTTGCTGAGGCACAATTATTCTTAAAGGTCAAAGCTTTCCTAATTGAAGCAATTTCCTCAGTGGTCAACAGAAAGAAGCCTCACACACTCATATAAACCAGATTCAGAGTCGGAATCAAATCCATCTGCTTTGATCCCACGGATTCCAGACTTTATGAATCTCTTGAGAAAGGCTGTCGGGAATAGACACTCAAGTACTCGCAAACCACTCACAAGTTCCTGCAACGACAGCCTTACTCTCTCACCCACATGAAAGTCTATTGGTTTCACACCTCCAGGATCTACAAAGCTTCCTGAGAGAAAAATTTGAATTGCCTTTTAACCTCTATATCTATATGCTATATTCCTTTCTGTTCACCAAACTCTGCCTTACAACAATAATAACTTGAATTTATATAATGCCTTTCACGTACAATGAATATCTCAAAATGCTTTACAGAAAAGGAATTTAAACGAGGAAAGAGACTTTAAAGATGTTGACCGAAGGCTTCATCAAAGAGGGAGGATTTTAACAGGACAGAAAGGTAGCTCTTTCCTTTCTAACAAGTCACATAATATATTTCCAACACTTGCATGTGTGCAGTTTTTCTCTGTTCAGTATTCCAAGACCCTCTTCACAAGGCTCATTTGGCTTAACATTACTGCAGAACAAAAGGGATTAACTCAGCAGGTATCATTGGAGCGAGTGTGATTTGTATGAGGGTGCCTGTTCTAAGTGTAAATCCTTCAGATGTTTCATAAAAGGTTTTGGATAAGACACATCTGTGTTTCTGGACCTTTCTTTTATCAAATTGGTAAGGAAATAATTACAATATCTGGCTTAGCTTATGAAACACTTTTCAAATTTGGTTGGCGATGAAAGAACATCAAATGAAAATGAAAGGCAAAACTTAGTTGGCAAAATCCCCCCTTCCTTTATCCCAAAATAGACTCATTTGTTGCTGCTATAGCTATGTCTGGTTGTAAAACTGAGTAGATACAGATTCTAAGGCCTAAGACTTAATCTTTGTAATAAGTTTTTACTGTTCTCAATGGAAACAGTGAAATGATTCAGATTTTAAAATCTTCACCAGGTCTATGTTGCAATATTAACAAACCAGACTCACTTCACTGTGACCTTTTCCAGTCTGTGGCAGCTTGTCACTTGTGATGTGCTGGCCACAAATTTCATAATCTGATATTTGCAATTAGTCAGGTTTATAACTATTGCAAATTAGACCCTGTACAATAAATCCAGCAAAAAGGAAAAAAATCTGTCCACTTTGCTGCTGTATTTAAACAATTAAATAGCAGTTTGATCATGAAATCTACAGAATTGGAGAAGAATCAACACAACATGACTCATTTTAAGGTAAATTAAATAGAAGTTGCATCAGAAGTTGTGGATTTCAGCTCACCATTAAATTGGTCAGTCACTTCAATGTGGCACATTGCTGTGTGCAAATTGGTTGCTGTGTTCAACTACAAATACTATCACTATACTTTACAGAAAATTCCTTGAAGTGCTTTTGACAAAATACGGCGCTGTATGAAATGCAAGGTTTTTTTTAGTAAGGGGTCATCAAGATGCCAATTGAAGATAGAGAAAATATTGGTGTAATATCCCTTTACTGCCACTAGCTGTCAGTAGAATCCTTTGTTAATACAGTATTGCATTTTATTTATTTACCAAGAGTTATTTAACAGGATTCACACACTTTCCTGAGTTGAAGGGCAATTCAATTTGTTTACGGCAATCCAGGTTACAGGCTATGTACAGAGCGCACAATGGGTCTCTTATATATTTCGGGACCATTTGGTTGATGCTAATTGCTAATGGAGGTGGGATATTCCCTTGGCAGGGCCTGAGTTTGGTTTCAAAAACTTATAGTTTATAGTGCCACTTTGCCATTATAGGCGTTGGGCAACTAGTCAGGTGCCGGGGCCACTCCATGCAGTGGTTTATCTCAGGGCTCCTGCGCTGGGAATGGGGGGGGGGGGGGCTATATGGTATAGGCTTACTGGAGGGTTTTTCGCCACCTCAAGCTGAATTCTGTGTAACACTCTCTTAGTGTTGCAAAGGCAGTTATTCACATTTTATGTGGAGATGATTGCTATTTCACTGAAAAATGCATCCTCTCATAGCTACAGATGAGAATCATGCCAGTGTGAGGATGGTGAGGCCAGTCAATTTTCTAATAATCCTTGCATTTGATATAGTGCTTTATCACTATATCAAAACGTCTCAATGCAAGCCCCAAAATTTACTGTAAAGCACAGTGGCATATTAGAATATATTAGAATGCAAACTGTACAATTTGCACAGCAATGTCTCACAAAGTGGCACGTAGCAAGTGCTGAATTTTTTCCTGAAAGATTGTTGCCTGGGATGCTGGGAGAAACTCTGTTCTCTTTTCGGATAGTGGCATTGGATCTTCAATGTCTACTCGTAAAGGCAGACGGGACGTCAATGTAACATCTCATCCAAAGGATGGTAAGTATGACAAAGCAGTGCTCCTCGGGACTGCATTGGAATGTCAGCCTAGACTAGACATTCCACGTGTGGCTTGAATCCACAACATTCTTACGTGCACAACATGTAGTTTCCAAAATGGAAACTTATAGGCATGTCTATGCAAAGGAACATTTGAACCTTACCACTTCTACTGAACTCTTTTGCCACCAGAGTGAGAAGCATTAATCACAGTGTGCCCTATCTCAATTGGTTTAGGGTTATGCTGAGAGAGAAAAAAAACAAAGATCAGAAATGCTCTTTGTAAAATGTTCAGGGAGATACACCTAATTCCCCACCCGAAAGAATAAATTGGATTTGAGAGATATCTCAATATTTGGCCTTCTGCTTCCAAATCTAGGAAGTTAGAACCTGTACTCAGGACTCCAGGTTGCCAACTGAAACTAGGCAAAGATTAGCTTGTGCTATCACAGTAAATATCAGAGTAGAAATCCATATGTGATAGACAACGTTTTTATGGATTAAAAATATGAATTGCATTTGGTAATTTATCCCTTTACTGCATGTGGGATGTTGCTGACACGAATGATTTTCTCTTCTCGTCTACATAACGAAAGTTGTTTCACTTCAAAGTAACTCATTGGTGTCCAATATGCAGCAATTTCTGACTGTGTTTGTATGCAAATATGGCAGTCTATTGTAAGAATCCTACCAACTGAGCCAAATTGACACCTGTTGATCACACGCTCAGCTCTGTGAATCTTTTTTCAGATTGAGTCATGTTGCTCATATCAACGCTCTCATGCTTCAGCCAAACATGTGAGGAGAAACGAAAGAAGGGAACATGTACAATCGCATTGCAATATAAAATAATATGAATAGTAAATTAAACACTTAACATAATTCAGATATTTTATTCATGCTTTAACATATCGATGTACATCAGAGAGAAAACCGAGCAAAGGTCATAAAGCATTATATCTTAGCAGTGCTATAAAAATCTAAAAATAGGAAGTCATCTGAACAATTTAAAAGTGAGCTCAAATGACAAACAACTCAACATGTGCCTCACATGTTCCAATATTCAGGATGCAGAAGTCTCAAAAATAATCCATCAGCAACTGGGTGTCCAGCGCAACTCTAAAGTGCCTTGTAATGCCCATTTGCAGGGCAGACATCTACAAGCAGGTTTTCTGCCTGACCTTTCAGATGGAGAGCAAAAAATGATGAATGTTGTGAGTGATCATAAGAGGAGGTTAAATATAATGAGAAAGTAAGATGATGCGCCTGTTCATGTTTGGGCCTGAATTCAATGTTTGCTCAGCAGAATGTGGTCACAAAAAGGCAGTCAGGCCAGGAATTAGGAAAATTCCATTTTATTAACTTTTCGGAATGGTATCCACGTGTGGTTGGCTAAAACATCCTAGCGCTTGCTTTTAACATGTACATTTTAACATTCTCACAGTCGCTAATTGTAACATTCCAATAACTGAGATGTAAACATTGACATTCCAAAGGGTAACTGACTACTATTTATAACCAGATTGAGATTGTGCATCCAAACACACATTCATTTTGTATGATGTATGCCACAGAGGTAGAGAGACACCGACAATTGGTTGAGGCACTTCCTTCCTCCAGAGCCTTTGTACTTGTGCCAGTCTGGAGCAACCAATATACAGGTTGCTGCCTGGATTGCACAAAGCACCGGTCAGATGCTGCCATCATCACGTAATTTACGTGATAGCACCATACGCCACTTCACGCACATTCCTTGTTGTAACTGCCACTGGAGTGAGTCAATAAAGCTAGTGGAAGCCAAAGAACTGTGACGAATATCAGGCGTCATCACTTTTATGCATGTATTGTAATGGCATCACTGCTCTCTGCTGACCTGAACCCTAACCCAGTAGCCATTAAGCAGCCTGAAAGCAGCACAGATACCAATGGTTGAATCCATCACTGGGCATAATAAAGATCTCACTAATTAACTTACACTCATGTCACTGGCAGCTGGCAGCACCACTCAAGTATGTTCAAATTAGTCCAGTTATTAATGAGGAAACCATCTCACACGTCAAACTATTGATATCATTAAATATTATTACTTCTTTCTTCTGGACTTGCTTGAATAGATAAAAATCCATCCAAGTACTATAGGACAGGGAATCTACCTTCATTAAATCATGTCGTTTTCAAGACATACTAAACTAGATCTGTTTTGAAAATAAAGAAGGCTACAGAAGCTTTTACTAAGCCTGGATGAACACTTTCAGCAGAGAAACAACAGCTGAGCACAACAACAACCAGCACTCTGGAGAACTGAATCAAACCACACATTAATATTCAGCATGCAACATGGCACTAATGGAAGTATTCAACAGACAGAAAGGAAAGGATGCAAATCAACATGGTTGGCACTTCAGTTGGGAGAATATGGGAAACGTTTCTCGAGAACGGAATGAAATAGAATAATTACATGCCAACAATTCGCACAATATGAATCTATCAAATTTTAATTTGAAAATCAGAGATAATTTCAGCTCTACTAAAACTACTTATCCATCCAAAAATGTTCAACTCTATTTTATTAGAAGTAAATGTATTTAAAGCTTCGATTTCCGAATTGTAGCTGTATACTTCTGCTTTTTTAAAAAAAAAATACCTTAAGAGTTTTCTGTGCATCTTCACTGGAGCCAATTACAATCAGCTCTGGGCCAGCCATACTGCAGAAACTCTTCAAGTGCAGAGATCCTGTGACTGGCACAGTAGAGACAGCGTAGTCCTACATTGAGGAAAGCAAATGGAGAAATTTATTTCAACATATAAGAAAAACAACAAAGCCTGAAAAAAGTCAAAAGCATGCCCACTGCACACAAAGCAAAATTATACTATATTCAAATTATAACTAAGCTAAACAGTTCACATTATTTTTAAGTGCTTCAATGTAGCATGCAATTGGAGTATCTTCATTGTACATTTAAAATGAGTTTCACTAACCTTAAAAGTGTCAGCGAGAATTTCTGCTCCACGTTGATTAGTTCGCTTTGAAAGCCCCACAAAGAACTCTCTACCTGAGCACAAATGATACCAGAGACAGTGTTTTAATTGCACGAATCACATGGGCATTTGTCTTACAGCTAATTAAGTGGCATAAAAGTGTATTCAATACATTCACCTCAAGTCTTTTGCAAAACAGGATAATTGCACTCTCTTGAAATACTGAACATCCATTAGGTTCACACCTAGTCTCAGTCTGAAAATCATCGCTTTTATAACAGGCATTCAAAGCTTCTATTGTGTGATAGAGGAAAATGCGATCGACTTTGCAATTATCAAGTCAAATGAGCTGGAGCAAACACTATTTTCAATGCTGAAATTTGAGTAGACAGGTGCATGGTGTTGGACTTCCAGCTTACCAGTTAGTGGAATCCTGTCTGGTTGTATTTTATTTACTAAAATGTCAGTCTCCTACAACTGGGCAAAATTCACTACCCAGACATCCAATGACAACAATAACAGCTTGCAATTATTATTGCCCTTCACTTGCCCTTTTTAGCTCGCCATCTTTTGTGTTGTTTATCAGCTGCCCCTTTAATAACTCTGGTCTGCAGCTATAATCTTGTTCAACAGCCTATCACATGACACAAGGCCACTTTTACAAACCTTGGCAGTCAATCATGGTGGTGGCAGGAAAGCAGCAGTAGGAAACATTGGCAGCAGTATACTTTCATGTGGAAACTGAAAATTCTGTACATACAGTACTAACATTTTGGGCTCTCAAAAGCAGAAGTTCAAAGGAACAACTCGTCTACGCTGAATAGATATAATATAAAGTAACATTATTGAGTAACTGCCAGTTCCTCAGTGATTTCAGACCCAAGTTTTCTCTACAAATCTCCTTGCTATTTTGCACACACTCCAGGCTGAATAGGCTTTAGATTGTCTGCAGTAGAAACTTTCCAGTATTTAGTCATCTGTAAAAATACACAAGTTATCACATACACTTAAGAATCCATTCCAAAAGTTTTGTCGTAATTTATCGGGAATAAAATTAACTGAACCAGTCTTTAAATTAGTAATAATAATCTATTATTATTATTAAATTAAAGATAAAACTTTTTTTAAAAGAACTGCAGGTATGAATATTTTTTATATCTGAAATACATGGCAGATCATTAAACATCACATCATTAAATGTTCTTAAAACAAGTAGAAGTGTATTGAAGGTAAAAGGTTTAAACATCTTTGAAGCTTCATTCTCTTGGTTCAGGGTTTCAATCCGGAGTTTACTTTGGCCTTGTAATACATATCAATTACTCTTCACCAGAAATCCATAGCAGAAATATTTTTGTAACGCTATCATTAGTGTCATATAATATCTTCATCTCCTGCTATACAATTAGCTTTGATATACTCTTGTCCATACCATACCAGGTCTACCACATATGAAATACTGAATGATCTAATTGCATTAAAACTATCCAGTGTTAGATGACATACAATGATGAGAAATCGGATATGTCTTATATCCTGCATATAATGTTCAATGTGACTAATAGGAAATAAGACATGAACAATATAATGCTCCTTATGATACAGTATATTGCGTTCCCATTGCACCTTAGGCAAGTAAACGTTCTAAAAGTTCCGTGTAAACTTTAATCTTACATGGTAATTGATGCATAAATTGTAGACTGATTTCAGTGATATGCTGTAAAACTCTATCCTCAATGTTTATTAAATATTGAAACCAGTTACAAAGATGAAGGTTGCTTTGTGTAATATACATATATATTAAATGCAACAACAGCAAAGCTGTCAGGGACTGTGGAAGGAGCAGGGCCTTAGGATTAGAGCAGTTTGTTCCAGTAAAGAAACTTTTGAATTTAAGCAACAGCATAATTTCAATGAGCCAAATCACCTCTTTCTACACTGTAGTTAGTACATGACTGAGTCTACAACTCCTGTGCTTACTGATAGTTTTGATAGTTACATAAACTGCTCAATTCTTTTTGCAGCCCAATACTTCAATGCCAACACCTTTTCTGGTGGCAGATTGCTAGAAGGCAAAAATGGGATACTTTTCCATTCTGGGCAATGTATCTCAAGAACACAAGATTAATTTTGATGAAGAAGACCCTTTGACCCATCTGATCTCATCCTTCCAGAATACTCACCCTACCATTCTCCCATCACAGCATCAAGCTGTTTTTTGTTTGTTGAAAAATGAAACCAAGCTCTTTTAAATAATCTCAAGTCAGATATAATAGTTCGGAAGCCAAAGAAAACTCCATTAGCTGACCCAGCAATGTGTCTTTACCTTAAATGCATCCAATCTCAGAACAGCAGTAAAGCAGACTTTGAATGCCCTTAAAATTAATGGGAGGGAAGAAATGTGAATGTTTCAAACCAATTTACAAATACAGTAAATGCAGTTAGTTGCATTTTTTCACATTTTACTAACACTGTAAGTGGTTGCAGACAACCAGATGTTTAAAGCATTCTAATTTTTCGACTACTTGTAACACTGATGAAAAATATTTGAATATAAGCCGTGTACCTGTGAACAGAATATCACCACCATCGAGAGTAGCTGTCTCGTCGGTCATTTCTACAGTATGAAGGTTAAGTTCTGCCAGGGCCACCTTCATAGCTTCAACCTGTTTTTAAAAAAATGACAGGAGTTTGTAAAATAACATAAACTCGTACTGTTTGAAGCACATGAAGTTTAGCTGTGAAGGTATTTATCATTGGACCACCCGTGTGTTAAGCTTCACTATTCAAATAGCTAGGTTTTGTAGCTGAAATTGAAATCCCTCCACTCCTCCCCAACCCCCCTACCTCTCTGACCTCCTCTCTCCCCAAAACAGTACCCGTTGCCTTCGTTCCTCCACGTCTGGCCTCCTCCTCATCCCCCGAGCCTCCGCTCCACCCGCAGCAGCCGTGCCTTCAACCACTATGCCCTGAGGCTCTGGAACTCCCTTCCTCACTCCCTTCGCCTCGCTCCCTCCCTTCCTATGTTCAGGTCTCTGCTGAAGACCTTTCTTTTCGACCACACCTTTGGTCAGCTTCCTTCCCCTCCGCCTGGCTCGGTCCTGGGATCCGTTGCTGTGAGACGCCGTCCGGCGTGGAGGGCACTATATAAATCCAAGTTGTTGTGGTTGTCATTGAAATAAATGAGCTTTTCTCAACTGACTTTCACAAATACTATATAACAGAAGAAGCGAGAACAGGAAAACTGCAATGATCACATCATGTACGCTTTTCAGGGCTGTCTTGTGCAATAACACAGGGTGCTCACTCTATTTTAGTTCATATTCCAGGAACTTCCTGTTGCATCACAGTCCAAAGTCACACTAGCCGGTGAGAGAATGCCTTCTTATTTATAGATAGATTTGATAATCCAGAATCAGTGAGGTCCTCTTCACTGTCATGCTACTCACTCAACTGGAGCAGCATCAGTTTCCAGTCGCTTGTCCACCCAATGGCTCGGCCTTTACGCCAAGATACCACTTAATACGCGATTTATGACAGATACCATTACATTAATATATAGGCATCTGTGAATTAAACTCTTTAGGGATCTGTTGAAGGCTTAATCCAGTTAATAGGGACCGAAGACAACATCCTGAACGGACTCCACTGGTACCCAACAGTCAGAACGTTTACATTCATCATCACCTTCCAAAATATTGTATAAAAATTCACTTCGAAAGCCTCAGATGCAGAACTTGTCAAACTATGTGAGGAATGCAATGGTCAGCTGAAGTTCTACTGAGGGCGGGGCACACAAGAAAGTGAGCGAACAGTTTTATTAATTTTATCTGTGAATGAAAAAGACTGCATCGGTTTACAAACAGAAGTGTACAAAGGAGATGAAAAAATCCACTTGAGAGGTGTTTACCTGCTTCCATCACCACAGTCTCCACACTTTAAAGTAAGTTTGTGGGAAGTGCTTTAAAGCATTTCCGATAGGTGATAACTCTATCTCAAGATAACAGCTTGTTCTCTCTTTTGGGTGAGGTTATTCTGTCAGCTTCTCAGCTGTGTCAATGCTCTTCCCCTAGTTACTGGGTATAAATACCAGAATTTCCCTTTTGTTTCAGACATTCAAAGCATACAATGTGACCTCTACAAGGTGGCGACCGACATGTCATGGAGCCTTCTCCTGTGTAGTAATTAAAGTAAACAGAATGCAGCTACTGTGGTTTTTGGCGACTACAGCAATGCTGTTTATGCAGATGGTGTGAGACTAGTCTTCATTAGCACTAAGAGTAAATACCAGTTTTGTAATTGACCTCAAAGTTGCAATGCTAAAACATTACTCATTAAAAGGAGAAATAAGATAGTGGGCCTGATTTTCCAACTGAAAAATTCTCACCACTCCTATAGACTGAAAACAGACAGTACAGCCTTTCATCCTATTCACTCCTCCCATTTGCACCTGAGCAATAATAATAAAATAATAAAAAATAATCTTTGTATGATTATAGTGCCTATAACATCAAATATATCTCAAAGTGATTCACAGTTAATTGCTACAAAATGTATTGATTGTGTTTGTGGCAGCCAGTTTAACAAAACAATAAACCACAAACCACCATAAAGTAAATGAACAATTTATTCTAATAAATCAAGAGAAATTCCCTTTGTTTTTGAAATGGTGTCATGGGGTATTTAACGTCCACATGAGCAGGCAGACAAAGCCTCAGTTTAATGTCTGATATGAAGGATAACAGGTCTAACAATGCAGCACTCCCTCACCAATGCACTAAAGTCCCAACCTAGACTATGAACTTGGATCCCAATGAGGGGTTTCATCCCACAATCTTTGGACACAGAGCTGAGAATACTATTTGTTGAGTCAAACTGATTCCTGACTGGGTGGCAAATAAAGAAAGAGGGTAGCATCCATAGATAGGAGGAAATCAGTAAGTCACCGTGACATACAAAACAAGGTAAAAAATAATTTATAAATGAGAAATGTTCAAGTAATTGGGTGGATGAAATAAATAGGCAAACAGATTCTAGACTCAAAATAACAATTTCCAACCATATTTTTTAAAAAGTGCATAAATGGAAAAGTAGTGAATATTTTCCTCTGAAAATAAATGAGAAAATGGTAGCCAAGGTCAAGCTTTCATTATACATGGGGAAATAGCTTTATAACAAAGGCAAATATTGCAGAATACAACAAGAACTTGCATTTATACAGTGCTATTCAAGCAGGATAGCATCTCATTGTGCTGGATTCAATTAAGGGAAAAAGTGGCCCCAAAGTATTCAGATTTACAGATGCTTGGAATTATTGCACTATTATGTTATAAATCGCATTGTTTTGAAGTACTTTGGTAACAAAGTTGTGTTACAAAATGTTATCTTATTGCTGTATAGCAACAAGTAACCCGTTTGTTAATACAAAGAGCTTTCAGACATATTAGGTTCCACGTCTGTCGTGCCTGCTTTATACTGGAAATTAAATTCAGCTCATTTTACATTGATTTAATTTACTTAGGGTTTCCACAGCGCCAATTGTTCAGGTACATCTCTTTGAATGAGTTCCTTCATCAGACAGCATCAAATTACAGTTTGTCACAAATATTCGGGAGCGTGACTGGGCTCAATATAGCTGGGAATCCAATCAGACCATTTATACCAGTTGAACTGAAATCTGTCTGGTCTGGAGCCAGTTTTAAACTGGCATCAGTGGGTGCAAAGTTTTATACTGAAGGATCACCAGATTAAATTCATTCTAAATTTAAAACTTGACACTTATATAATGCAAAACGCATACTAATTTACAGTTGTTATGTAAACGTAATTGTACATTCTTTCCCTTATAGAGACACTAATTTGTCTGCACGATATCATAAAAATGTTTTACTGGCGCCAAGCATTGTATATTCCCAAACAGCTGTTATTAGTCAATTTTAATTATACATCAATTGATATAAAATTCAATTGTTGAGGGATTTACGTGGACCCGAATTAAATCCCAGAATGGCACACTTCGTTCCCTGACTGCTGTAAAAGCAGCTAACACATTCCTAGGCTTCTGAGCTGACCGTTTGGAATAAAAAANGTAATAATTTGGTCACTCAATCCATGACTGGGATGTGGGACACTGCTGTGCACAATTGGCTGCCGCATTTTGCCCACAAAATATAGTCAATTCACTTTACAGTATATTCTGTGAAGCTCTTTGAAACATGTCGAAGATGTGATAAAGTGCTAAATCAAATGCAAGGATTATTTTTATTATTATGTGCAAACAATGTTACTTGACTAATTCTCTACTTCTCTCCATATGGCAGGTACCAAGCAATTAAATGTGACTTGAAACTTGAGATGGTTCTACATCCTGTCACACTATGGTTCAGAGAGGTAGAAAATCCACGGACCACGTAACGGAACAGGCACATTTAATTTTCTCCTTGAAGGCACAGATTCATGCTGGTACTCAGGTCCATAGTGCTGGCTACCCACCCTCTGGAGAATCTTGTCCATGTGACCACTCTTCAGAAGCCCAGAGAATGAGATATGCCATTTGATTTTGAAAGCTGTTAAAGCTGGGCCAGGGAAAAGTGTCTTCTGCACGATCTTTGCAAGCGCATCAGGGTTAACTTAATAGAGTTCACGAACAGGAAGTCTAGGTAATTTTTCACCCACCCGAGTACAGAAACACTGGGGCTTTTCAAGGTATCTTCCGAGACAACCTGTCTGAAATCAATTAACTCAACATAGGAGATACATTTCCTCATTGAGCAATCAGGGCAGCTCCATCATACTGTATTGATGAAAATTCTTTCTTTTGCTTAAAACAATTCGAATATCATTTTAAAGCGCTGAATGTAACTCAACAGTCTCTGAAAGAGCAAGCATTTTCTCTCTTCGCTCTAAAGTGCTTCTTAAGATCTTTCATATCAATGAAAGAATGTCTGGAACTCACCGTCACCAGGGAGATGCTCTTTCTCTAGTCTTTAAGTGCATATCCCCCAATGAAGAACCTTAAATTACTCTTTAGATAGATTTTGTAGAATCACAGGATGCTGCTGGTTGCTCAGATGCATGTGAGCAGTGATATTTTCAGTTTTGGCATCAGAACACATTGAATAGATTCAAAGTACACTGCATATATACACACAATGTACATGATTTCAGCTTCAACATATTGCATACATTTAAGAGGACATAGAATGTTCTCTTAAATGTCTCCACCCTTGGCTCCAGGACCACTGCTGTCCTGACAGAATGTCTGTTGGACATCAAGTCCTGGATGAGAGCTAATTTTCTTCAGTTGAACGTCAACAAGATCGAGGCTCTCCTGATTGACTCCAGTCAGTGCCTCCACATTTCAGGCGCTGACAGCATCACAATCCGTTGTGCACACTCCACCTTACGAAGTCAGACCTTGGAGTCTTGTTTGATCCTCAACTATCCTTTCTACCCCATATCTGTGCCACGACCCACTCTGCATTCCCCACCTCCGCAACATAGCCTGAAAGGTGCTATACAAATGTAATTTTGTTGTTGTTGTTGTGGTATACACAATGACCTTGACTCTATGGTCATTATTTCTAATGCTAATGTGATTTGTCTGTCACAATATAAGAACTGTATTTTTATAGTGGTGTGATCTGGTATTAAGAGCTTCTGAAAG